TCTGTACATTAACTAATAGAAGTATATGGAAATAGGACTGTAAAATAAAGTGCACCATTTTACATAAACATTACACAGGAATTACCAGTTCTTCAAACATTGTAAGCACTGTTGTGGAGAGCAATTTAGCATTAAAGGTCCTACACAATTAATTGAAAAATAGTCCTCTTTTTATTAGGTAAAGTTAGGACTTACCAAGCGTACCGTATATACCAAGTACAGTATGTGTCTTGTTTGTTACCACAAAATACCACATTTTTCCGTAGGTGCTACACATTTACCATGTACATATCATTAGTATGTACAGTTATGTGTCTTATTAGTTACCATATACGGATACTGTAAGGACGTGCCTGTTTGTACCCACTTGTAAGTACTACATATTTACCATGCATATACATTAGTAAGTACAGTAAATTATCTAATTAGTTACCATGTACTGACACTACCTGTAAGTGACCGTTATTACCCACACTTGTCTGCATGTACAGATGCCACATAATACCGCATTTTTCTGTAGGTGCTACACATTTACCCTGTACAAATCATTAGTATGTAGTTATGTGTCTTATTAGTTACCATATACGGATACTGTAAGGACGTGCCTGTTTGTACCCACTTGTCCCTAAGTACTACATATTTACCATGTATATACATTAGTAAGTACAGTAAAGTATCTAATTAGTTACCATGTACGGGCACTACCTGTAAGTACCCAAACTTGTCTGTATGTACAAAATAATTACTATGCATGTACGACTGTTAAGTACAGCCGTGTTTCTTATTTGTTACCATGTACATACACTTCAGGAAGTACCTTATGTTACCACTCATTTGCCTGTAGGTACAAGATATTTGCCATGTATGTACCAGGGAAGTACACTTACTGTAAAATAAAGTGCTACCGAAATGGTCATGCGATCGCATGACAATTTCTGTTACGTCTCAGTTTGAGTTTAAGTTTTTATTTGACCCAGTATGTCATTATTGATTCAACCTGATGTGAAACAAGACATTAGTTAGGCTTTAGCTAGACTGACAAATCTGAAATGCTTAGAAAAAAAAAACAGCTTGAGTAAGCTTTTTTTTATATGAAGTGAATTAATGACTAGTCTTTGAAACAAAAACGTGTTAAATTGCAATAATTGAAAAAAAAAATGCATTGCATTAACTGCTTGCATTTTTTCCCTCACTTTATTTACATTTTTCCATATAAACAAAATACAGCATACAATTCCAAAACATATACAGATACTTATATGACCTCCATGTATGTCTCTCTAGTTAATAAAAGGGTCCATTTGACAAATAGCAATAGAACAAAGTGAACACTGAAGAAAGAAAAAGAGCTTAGAAAGTATTTAACATAACGTAAGAATAAAAAGGGAGAACATAAATGATTAATAGAGGTACCTATGTTATACAACTAAACAACAACCATAAATCAAAACTCAACAACCACGCATACAAAGAAAAAAAAATATAATAATAATAATAATAATAAACACACAACAACATAAATAATAATAATATAGCAACATAATGATAGTAAGGCAAATGGTTAAAGAATTAAATAAAAGGCCTTAAAATGCTTGGTAATCCAAAATCTATATACTGGGGGAAGGAAGGAGTTACAACCGGAGGAAATGTATACTTAGGTGATTGAGGGTCTTTCATTTTCCTACACAATCTAGGAAGGGTCCACAAATTTTATAGAAATTATCAGAAGATCCCTTCATTGTGTGTCTGATTTTTTCTAGTTTAATGAAATGGAAAATACCTATAATTCATAAAGAATGAGTAGGAGGTACAGGCGATTTCCAGTTTAGTAAAATTAAACGTCTTGCTAAAAGTGTGACAAAAGCTACGAAATCAGACTTATATTTGGGCATATCAAGAGATGGGGGAAGGGCACCAAATAAAGCTGTGAAAGCCAGAGGTTCAATATGATTTTTAAGAACTTCAGACAATGTTTTAAAGATCTGGGATCAATATTTCTGTAGAGATGGACAGGACCAAAACATGTGCGAAGTAGTTGCATGGGCCTGATGACAATGGTCACAAGTAAGATCCACTTTGGGATATATTTTTGAAAGTCTAACTTTGGTCCAGTGGATGCGGTGAAGAATTTTATTCTGAATCAGACCATGTCTGGCACAAAAGGAAGAAGAGTGCACACGGCGTAGAATCTCTTCCCGCTGTTCCTCTGGAATATTTTCTCCCATGTTCTCCTCCCACTGAGATTTAATAGATATCTAGATTTAATAGATATCAAAACATCTAATGTCTTGGTAGCTTTGGCCCCATTAAAGTTCAAAACTTTCCCCTCAGCTCATTCTTCCCCTTGATTTACTCCGGCGCTCAGACTAATGAAAGCGAAGGGTAGGCATCTTGAACGGCTCTATAAGAAGACTCGTCTTCTCGTTCATGCGTCCCTCCACTCAGAATTCATATCACAGTATAAAAAAAATCACTTAACACCGCATGCTCTAGTTACCTGTCCACTATTATTAACAGAGCAAAGTGCAAGCCGAAGACCCTATTCTCTGAGATCAGCAAACTTGTTAAACCACCATCACCCCTTCTTAATGGTTCTTCTGAACTTTGTGATGATTTTCTGACATTTTTTACACACAAAATGTACAATATTTAGCAATCCTTTACTTCTGTTGTTCTTCCAGGAACTGCTACTTCCCAGATACTTTACCCACTCTCAAACTTCTCACTCACTAATACATCTGTGGTTGAACAACTGATTATGAACTCTAACTCCTCTACCTATCAGCTAGATCCTATTCCAACACACATACTCAAAAACTTTCTCCCGTCTCTCATTATACCTATCACCCACATAATAAATTGTTCCCTATCGACTGGTTATGTACCGCTTGGATTGAAAATAGCTATGATCACTCCTGTACTTAAAAGACCTGGACTTGACAACACAGTTCTATGTAATTTCAGACCAATTTCTAACCTTTTTTTATCTAAGGTCCTAGAAAAGGTGGTCGCCAAACAATTACAGACTCACTTGGATAAAAATAATCTGTATGAATAATGTCAGTCCGGATTTCGCCCTCTCCATAGTACAGAAACTGCCCTTCTAAGAGTAGTGAACGACCTCCTCCTTGCTTCTGATTCGGGTGCCCTTAGCCTTCTGGTTCTTTTAGACCTGAGTGCAGCTTTTGATACTGTTTGCCATTCTTTACTGCTATCTCGTTTGTCGGCGATCGGCATTACTGATACTGTCTTACAGTGGCAGGGTTTATATCTCTCAGACAGGCAACAGTTCATTAGCATTGATAAATCCAAATCTCATTCTGTCACTTTTTCTCGTGGAGTGCCTCAAGGATCTGTCCTTTGTCCACTTCTATTCTTAATCTATATGCTTCCTCTGGGTCAGATCATCCGGCACCATGGTCTAAATTTCCACAGTTACGCTGATGATACGCAAATCTATTTTTCTGCACAGCCCAACTCTGTTTTTCCTCCTACTTCTTTAACATCTTACCTACATGATCTTAAAGTATGGATGGCTCAAAATTTCTCAAAATGGAATAATGAAAAAACTAAGATTCTGTTAGTTGGCCCAAAATCCTTTGTCTCCCCTCATCTTGACTTTTCTATTAATTACTGATACTGTCTTACAGTGGCTGGGTTCATATCTCTCAGACAGGCAACAGTTGATTAGCATTGATAAATCCAAATCTCATTCTGTCACTTTTTCTCGTGGAGTGCCTCAAGGATCTGTCCTTGGTCCACTTCTATTCTTAATCTACATGCTTACTCTGGGTCAGATCATCCGGCGCCATGGTCTAAATTTCCACAGTTACGCTGATGATACGCAAATCTATTTTTCTGTACAGCCAAATTCTGTTTTCCCCCTTTTTCTTTTACATCTTGCTTACATGATCTCAAAGTATAGATGGCCCAAAATTTCTTAAAGTTAAATACTGAAAAAACAGAATTTCTGTTAGTTGGCTCTAGATCCCTTGTCTCCTCCCAACCTGACTACTCCATTAACATTGACAGAGTTATAGTCCATCCCTCTTCCACTATACACAATCTTGGTATAATGTTCGATTGTAGTCTACATTTTAATCCCACATCAATCAGCTTGTCAAATCCAGTTTTTTTTCACCTTCGTAATATTGTCCGTCCACGACCATCTTTAAATTTCAAAGATGCTGAAACTGTTGTTCATGCGTTTATTACGTTGCGTCTGGATTACTGTATCTCCTTGATTTATGGCCTACTCAACAAAGTCCTTAATCACTTGCAGCTTATCCAAAATTCAGATGCTCGTGTTCTTACATTTACCAAAAAATCTGCCCACATCACTCCGGTTTTACAGCAATTACATTGGCCCCCTGTCACCTATCATATTCAGTTTAAGATTCTTGTTTTAGTTTCCAAGGCCCGTCATGGTTTAGCACCTTCTTACCTTTCTGAATTAATTCTCCCCTATGTCCCTGCCTGTACTTTGAGATCGAGCTCTGAAAATTTGCTTGCAGTACCCAAATTCTGGCTATCTAGTGTGGGTGGTAGGGCTGTCTGCATTTCCACTGCCAAGCTCTGAAATAAACTATCACAAGATCTCTGTGTTATCTCTTCACTCCAGACCTTTAAAACTGCTCTCAAAACTCACCTATTTACAATGTTTCTTAATTAATTGCTTGCCTTCATTTTCTGTTCTATGCTTTTGTAACTTATCATGTATATTGCATATTATTTCACCTCTGTCTGCTGTTGGGCTGTTTATATGTTGTATACTATCTGTTATCTACCTTATGTAAAGTGTCCTTGGGTGTTTGAAAGGCGCTATATAAATAAAACGTATTATTATTATTATTATATCCCAAATTATTATTATTATTATTATTATTATTATTATTATTATTATATAAGTGGGTATCCACGCAAAGTACAAATTCAACATAGAAAATCACAAATTCAGAAGAATATTCAGCATTGCACATCCAGGAACATCCTGGGGGGGGGCCCATTTCGGCAAACCAGTTTTTGTGACTAACAGCTGGCTGACTAACAGCAGTACCTGCAGTTCCCAGATTTGCAATGTTGAATATTCTGCTGAATTTGAACCACTGAATTTATGGATTTTCTTTTACAATTATTGCAATTTTTGTTTCTAAAACTTTAGTAAATTTTTTAGTTCCATATTTTCCCACAGGGTTTTAGTTTTTTTCTGTTTATTTTGATGGGGTTGTGTAACACTTCACTGCTCTGTTTAAATTGTTTACATTATGTAAATGGGCATATGAATGAACAACATTCATCAGGCAAACAATGTCTTTAGTACAGACTCTTAAACTGTGGTCAAACACTGCAGAACAGTTACAGACTCCCTCTGTAAAATACTGTATTTTGCACTTTGAGGGAATATTTGGAATCAACAAAAAACTTGTTCAAGGTCAAATAAATATAAAAAGTATAGAATATCATTCCATTGTTATTTTGTAACAAAAGCATTCCAGTCCATTATATTGAATAATAAAGTGATAAAGTTTTTAAAGTGTAAGTGTTTCATGGGTGCCCAACATTACCAATCTTATTTGTTTGTTTTATTGTGACTTATTGATGTTTTTGGGTCAACAACATCAAGGGCTGCAATTATACATTGGGCTACCACTAAAATTTATACAAAAAGTTTTTTTTGTTTTTTTTTACGTCAAAGGGTTTTTAGAACATAATCGCTCAATTTATAATAATAATAATCATCATGTTTCATTTTAAAATTAATAATTGTATTTAATTGTTTTTGGAATTCTTTAATTGGAGTTCTTGGACAGAAATATTCTTAAAATAATCAAGGACCACCCTTATGAACCAATGAACCTGCATCTATATTTTGAGCATTTGCCCTGAAATAGGATATCCTCTTGCCAATTGTCTTCTGAAGCTTGGCCGGTAACCACAACGCCTGCTCTTGGACAGAAAATATGTGTTTGCCTATGCAGTCTTCACATAATCTACAAAGAAAAGATAATATGTGGTGAATAATAGTCAGGGTAGTGGCATATTTAATTTTTGACAGGAATGAAAACAAGGCTGTAAAGGATATCAGTAAATGTGTTTAATAGATTGTACTGTTGTTAAACAACATATCAACATATTCAGCTGATGAAAAGTCTTTCTGAAAAAAAAACTACTTTCAGTAGACAAAATTCGATAAAACTGAAAGTTGAAAATGACGTAATCTAGTACCTTTATACAGTGCATGCCATTGTAATGACTGTAAGTCTATCAATCACAGCCTTGTTTTCGTCTGTGTTAAATTCAATATGGCATCTAACCTGATTAAGGGAATTTGATTCCCTTATCAAATAACAACATTTTTAGACTTTAGACATAAAGTGTTTCCTAAACATAATTATTTGATGAGCTGTTTGTTGCAATGTGTGTATATAGGATGGCTTTTACCTTGACAGGGAGTACGGTTGAGTCTGAAACACTAGCACATCTGCACAGTGATTCTGAGAGGGAGACCTGAGAACTGCAACCTACAAAGGGAGAAACCAGATCAAGTGCATCTACTTTGACTGTGACTCATCAAACAAGGGTTCAACCAATCCATGATCTTGGATGGATACCAGCTAACTAAAGTCTGCAGAGAGCTCTGAGCTAATGTGTTACACAATTGTTGAGTTAATGCTCACAATTAAACTCCTGTCTAATCTGCATGCGTTTCTTTTTGCAATGAACAAGGATGTACACTGCTCAGAGCCCAAGGCTTATGGCTCAAACTAACAGAGCCAATATGTCTTTTAAAGCAGAATTAGTCTCTGAATATTCCAGCGATAAATATGTACATTTATTTATGAATCTGCAGTACATCACAAACACAAGCCCTTTGTTGTAAATTAAACTGTACATACTGAATCCATTACAAAGAGGTAGGTCTGGCTTCCTCCAAAAATGACTACATCACTGTCTCTCCCCTTATCAGCAGAATGCCATAACCTGAGGGAGGAAATAGATACAACTCACTGATTCAAGCCTAAACTATATCACTATCATCATTATAATTTTGTTTCTCCACAAATGGCTCATACAGCGCATCACACAATACTTAAACTATTGTACCTGGGCTTGTCTTTATGTGCATGGTCTTTCTCTCTCCATTCTCTTGTTTTAGTGTTAAATTCCCACCCATCGCCTAAACAAAAGAAATATGGAATGTTTGCAAAAAAATGTGATGGTTATTTATAGACATGACTGTTTCTAAAATCTTGACAAAAACATACTGAGAACATCCCCAGAAGTACTGAGGCCTCCAAACAGGAAGAGTGTGTCATCTGAGATGGCAGTCAGTGTGTGAAGAGTGCGACCCCATGGAAAAGAAGCAGCCTGATGTTCACTGGGTTCAAAAAGAGTAACACTTACACAACTTATATGAATCATTATATAAAACAGTTTGAACTAAATAATAATTAAGCTAAACAGTCTCATGACATGATAATGGAGTCCATTTAAGATTGACCCTATAAAGTAAAATCATCACTAATGCTTTATCCTCAGTCTCTTTAAATTTTTCACATATTTACGATTGATGGATCCAGAATGAAATAATACACTATAGAAGCACAGCAACATAAATAATCTTCGGTAACACTTTACAGTAAGGGTATATGAATTACCATGAATTCATGCATAAATTAATGTGTGAATTATGCATTACTTCATGCATTAATATCTCATGAATTATCAGGAACTAACATGAGTTCAAAGTCTTTCATTCATGACTTCATGGATGAACAACACCTTAATTAAGACATTAACTAAGATGAGTACATCATGATTTATAATTTATTACGCATGATCATGATGTTTTCTTTGTTCACAAAAAACAAGGTCTTTACTATCCATTGTGGATAAAGCTATGCTTATGGTACATGATTCAAAAAAGCATTATTTAGTGCATGTAAGACTTCTTGAATTATTAAAGGAATATACAAAAATCCACATTACCTCATGCATGCATACAGGCTAGAACAGTATATCAATTAATGTGAGAACTAACGTTCCCTTTCAAGGGAACTTCAAACTGTGTTCTCTAGGGGTCGCTATGGGGAACGCCTCGTCATGACCCGTGTCTGAAGCATACATTGAAAAAACACCAACAACACGTTGGCCGGCGACAGCCATGACGTCACTACCGGTGCGACTATAGTATAAATAGGCGCCGGGAGAACACATCATCCTCTTCTTCGTCTTCACTGACTGTTTTGTTTGAAGTGTGCATTTCTGTGGTAAGAGCGATCTCTATTCATAACATTATGGCGAGCACTAGCAAAGCATTTAGAGAATGTGTGTATCTGTGTCGTTGTTATATAACATCTGATGACACACACAATCTATGCGTTGTTTGTTTGGGCGAAGAGCACACATGCGATGTCCTCGAGGGGGCAATCAGCGTGCACTGTGAGCGTTTTCCAATGAAAAAGCTCTGCTCTCGTTTGTCTCTCTTTTCGAAGAAAGAGGGGCAGCCATCTGCTTCCGATTCAGGACCCGCCGCTGCTGAGACACGGAGGAGAATGAGCTCATGGCAATCGCAGGTGGATCTGGCCGATGAGTTTAAAGAGGGGTTTTCCCTCTCGCGATCATCGTGCCACGGCGAGGCTTGACTTGCCGTGGAAGCAGGCAAAGAACGTGATGTCACGAGGTCATCTCGATGAACGTTATCTTTCTGGCCATAACCCTCCAGGTCAGGTGAGCCTGCCTTTCTTCCTGATCTCTATGCAGAGGTCGAGAAGGAATGGAAGAGGCCGGTTTCCTCACGCATCCATCAATTCCAGCATATGAGTTATGCCAACCTCGAGGCGATGTGCGAAAACGGCTATGAGAAGATGCCCCAATAGAGAGACGCTGGCCAGCTGTCTCTCTATGGGTGAGACGTCCTCTCTTAAGACTCCCTCCTTGCCATCTAAGCCTCTTCAGGATGCATCTCGCTTGAATGGCAGGGCATACGCAGCAGGTCAGGCTGTCGCTTCATTGCACACGATGGTGGTGCTCCAGGCATATCAGGCTGACCTGCTGAAAGACCTGGATAAAGGCTCATTCTCCTGATGAGGTAGCTGAGTTGCGCCGCACCACGGATCTCGCTCTCCGTGCTACTAATCCATGGCGGCTATGGTAGTGATGGAGAGACATCTGTGGGTGAACCTGGCAGATATTGTGATCCAGACAAGGCGTCAGCGCTTTTGTCCTGATCAGAGTGATACTTCTGTATCTAGTCATTTCCTTCGGGGTGTTACATCTGCCCTTATCTTCCCCTTCCTAATTCCCCTGTAACCACCATCTCGCCACCTGACCGAGGTTAGGTGGGAAATGTCCTGCATTATAGTCTCCTATACTGGACCTATTAGGTTTGGTTGGTTCTATGGCTTCATAAGTGACCATCTTACTGATGGTCCGGTCTGGAGGCTTCTTCGGACAGAGCTCCGACGCGGGAGCCATGGTGGGTGAGT